GAGAGAGAGAGAGAGAAAGAGAGAGAGAGAGAGAGAGAGAGAGAGAGAGAGAGAATAATAATTTATCTATATCACATTGCCATTTGCCATTTTGCGAAATCTTCGAAATTGATATGACATTATAGATTAATGCCTAAATGACTCCCTTCTTGGAGTTATAAATAAATCTACAACAAAACAAAACAAAAACAAACACCACCCCAACCCCCCTCCAGACAATGAGTACTAATGGAAAATAATTTTCCAATTATTGTCTTAAAGGTTTCGCGGGAGAAGGTAAGTTTTATTAGAGTGAGTACACTCAAATAATTAATATTACTAACCAAGTTCCGAAAGTTGATGTTGATCTTGAGTTTGAGCCTCAGCATCCGTCGGACCATCAGCGTGTCCCCGGACAGGACACTGTGGGCAAACTCCTGAGGAGCAGCCAGGGAGAGGTGTGGTTTTAGTTTGAGTAAAAGTTCTAGGGCACTTGCAACACAATAAGGTCATATAAGTGCAGAATATTAAAGGTGTTACAAGAGAGTAACAAACACAAAAAAGGAGGGGAGATAGTTTTTTAGTAGAGGTATTACGGCGTTCGCAACTGCATAAGGTCATATGAGCGCCAGAAGATTAGAGGTGTTACAAGAGAGTAACAAACCAATAGTAGTCCTTGTAACAAACATAAAAAAGAAGGAGGGGAGATAAGGACGATAGATGTTTGATAGGAAAGAAGGAGCAAACCATACCAGAGCACCCGCCAACCGCCAACTGGAGGGGAGATAGAGACGATAGACGTTTGATAGGAAAGAAGAAGCAAAACATATCAGAGCACCCGCCAACCACCCACGAGAGAGGTTTGGAACGAAACATGTGCACACACTGGCAGGATTTTACGGTTTGGATGGATGGATGGATGGATGGATGGATAGGTGGATGGACGGATGGATGGATGGACGGATGGATGGATGGATGGATGGATGGATGGATGGATGGATGGATGGATGGATGGATGCATGGATGGATGAATGAATAAATGGATGGATGCATGGATGAATGAATGGATGGATGGAAGAATATAAATTTTGAATTGAACAGAGCCGGCACATACCATAGAAGGCCGTATTCCGCTGACGACTCGTATAATACTCTCCGTGCCCATTTCCAGCGCCATCTGGAGCAGAGTCTTGCCATTCTGGAAAGAGAACCGCCATTTTAGACTGACTTTGAGAGCATGCAATGTACCGATATTACAGGGACCGCACAACAGAAATGCTGGTATATTATCATCATCATCCGGTGCCTTGCCGACTGGCGTGGGCGATCATGGACCTCCACTTCCATCTGTCTTTCGAAGCAGCAATGGTGTCTGTTGTTCTTGCTGCTCCCAGCCATGTTGTCATCTTGTCCAGTATCTTTTCCCTCTGTCTGCCTCTACCTCTCTTTCCATCAAACTTTCCTGTTGTTACAATGTTCTCTAATGCTTCTTTCCGCATTGTGTGTCCGAAAAAATGTGCCTGTCGTTTTCTTATATTCGTGATAAGTTGTTTTCTATAATTTGCTTCAACCAGGACTTCTTCATTTGTTTTTCTAGCTGTCCATGGGATACGTAGCATGCGTCTCATGAACCACAACTCTGCCGCAATAATTGTTTTTTCCAGCTGTTTATTGATTGTCCATGCTTCGCACCCGTATAATAGGATTGGCACGATGTAGCTTTTCATTACTCTTTTCCTCATTTCCAGTGACAGATTGATGTTTGTTAGTATCTGTTTCATCTTGTGGAAGGTTGCTTTTGCTTGGCAAATGCGGCTTTTAATTTCGGTGTGACATCTACCATCTGATGATATAATGGTCCCCAAATATCTAAAATGTTGTACTTGCTTGAGGGTGGTATCATTGATTTTGATATTGCATGTTGGGATTGGAGTATTTCTGCTTATCACTATCGTTTCGGTTTTCTTGATGTTTAGGTTTAAGCCCATGTTGTCACTCTCTTGTACGATGACATTGGTATATTATAGGATTTGTTAATTAATTAATTAATTTTTTTTGGAAAAGGGGGGGGGGGGGGGATGTTGAAGTTAATAAAGTCGTAATGTTGCCTTCGAAATTTTACAATTGTCTTACGTTTCCGGTTTGTTTAAAAATTAAGGTATAGTCGTCAAAGTTGAAAAAATTAAGTCCATGGAGATGCCCACAACCCGTGTCCCAAAGCATCATACACATTTCTTTAACAGAGACATTTGGAGCCAGGTTTTCTTCTTCTGTTCTAGTTTATTTGTTGAGTTTTTTAATTTTTTTAATTTATTAAAACAGGGGGAAAAAGTCAGTTGTGGAATTGCATAACTGTAGAGTGTAACACTTTTGTCCATTGTTGATACTGTCAGGAAAATGATATTAAGATGTGGAGAATCAAGTACAGAAGTATTTTGACGCTCGATAAAAGAACAGACTGCTTTCTCTTCTTACTACAGAATACATGAATGTTAATGTTAGCAAATGTCTGATGACATCTCAACCATTTAAAACAAACGCAAAATCCAAAACCGAGTTCAATTTAACAAAATGATAATAAAGAATCTTTTTTGTCAGTGCGTGATTGCGAGTAAAACACAATAATTATTTTTGGACATCATTTTAGACTTATCATCAATGTACCATAACACTCTTAACCCTATCCGTACGTCGTGTTTAACTATGGTATCCATACGACGTGGGGAACTCTGTGCAACCACTTAACCCTATCCGTACGTCGTGTTTAACTATTGTATCCATACGACGTGGGGAACTCTTTGCCACCACTTTCCAAAGAGGAAATTTACTCGTTAATCCGATCCGTACGCTTTGCATAGCAGTCTGTTAATCAGTCAAAAGGAGTTTTTTTAAAAGAAATACGGACAGTTTCAAAGAGATATTCGTTCGTACTAGAAGTATTCTAAAATGTGAAGAATACAACCCCGGGGGTACAAAATGACCCCCAGGGCGTACGGATAGGACTACGATGTATCCATGGTGTATGAACACCAGATAAAGAAACAAATGACGTGCCACTCACTTTCTGCACGTCCACTCTACACCACTCGTTGACGAGTCGTCGCACGCTCATGGCGTCATCACTGGTCACCGCCTCCCAGATGCCAGGCTGTGAACACATACACACACAATACCAGGGCATTTCAATCAAAGCGAACCAAACAAGTTAAAAAACACCCATCCGTTCAACCACACGTCTGTACACACACAATACCAGGTCATTTAAATAAAAGCCAACCAAACATGGTTACAAAAAACACCCATCTGTTCAGCCAGCCATCTGTCAGCCCTTCCATCTACACGAAAGAAAGTGATTATACTTTTTGTTACTGTTGTTGTTGGTTTTTTTTTAAGTGTTTAAAATTTTTATTCTATTTTATCTATTTACTTACTTATTTATTTATTTTTAAGTAAATAATTACTTACTTACTTAATTTTTTTTTCTTTTTGGTGGGGGAGGGGGGGGGGAGGTCGAAGGGAGAGTATTTGACCTTAAAGATAAAAGACCCAGTTTCCAATCAGAGCGGGCGTTGAAGGGTTGATTTTGTTCTTTCTGAGACATTTTCTCAGCACAAGTGTCGTAGAGGCGAACAAAAACACATTGTGATAAAAATATTATATCGTTAAATTGTCTTTTTATAGAACGTTCAACTTAAGAAAAAAATATATAATTAAAAGACTATAAAAAAACCACACGCACACACATATACACACATATGCACACACATATACACACAAACCCCCACCAATTCAACAACAATAACAATAGCAAAGACAACAAATACTTTCAGACTTCTGTGAATAGTTGATACTGCGAGAAAAAAGAAATATCTCAGAAAAAAATCTCTGTATTGAAATAGGAGTGAAAGGAAATGAAACATTTACAGCTGATTAAGAGTAGAAGGACAAAGGAAGCGGGAAACATGATAATACGTGAGGCAGCGTGGTGGAATCAGGCTCTCGTCAATGTTTGGGCATGTAGAGTTATTGTATTCATCTTAAAGCTGGTTCCCTTGTCTTTATTTGTATGAAAAAAGTATCCATTTATCTTGAATACAAGTCGAGATATTTGCGAAAGAAGGAGGTAGGGGTCACCTGTTTTCAGAGGTAAAATTAGTGAGAAAATGGCCGCCAAAGGCTAGTTATTTGATTAGCTTAAGAGTCCATGGAAACTGAAAATTTACATTTTCTGTGCCTTTAATCAACATTTTTCAGAAAAATCCACACAGAAATGAATTCTTTAAATGGCATGAAAGGTGTTGAGCAAAAAAACAAAAAATTGATAAAAATTTACAAACCTCTAGAAAAATGCAATATCTTCACTTTGATTATTTTGACGAGAGCCTGATTCCACCACGCTGCCTCACATATGCTCGTGTGGAAGGAGGGTAATGGGGTAAAACGCTTAAATTAAGTAGTGTTTTCAATTGACTTCAGCGACAATTCATCGTCCATCTCCCATGGGAGAAAACGGGGGGAAAACGATCCATCTTGTCGGCGAGACACGGACGGCCAGAGAGAGTTCAGCTGTTCTGTTCTTGCCCAGAGGGACACAAACGTACCAAGAGTACCACAGATATGACGAGAGCTTGAGATGCGGTAATTCGAGGACCCCCAGAAGGGTTTTAAATGACGGCTTGTTATTTAATAACCCTGTATCAGTTTTCTATTTCGAATAGGTCTTATAGTCCAGAAGGAATACTCTTTTAATAGATTTCAAAAGCGACAAAATAATTTTTAAAAATGAAAGAGGATTGTAAAGTAGATCTAAAGAATAAGTGTTTGATTTACACCACGTTGAACACATCCTTCAGCACTGCAAGACACACAGGGCCCTGAGACAGGAAACGTGGCCAACCCCATTGACACCACAAGAGAAGCTATACGGGCCGCCAGATGAACTGAGCAGGACGGCCCAATTTATGACAGATACCAGACTTCAAGTATGATGCGATCGAGAAGAAGAAAGAAGACACCACGTT